GGCCTGACTTAAACCAGGCCAGTACATTGGCTGCAGGGGAATCCAGAGAAAGGTAGTTTATAGCTTTAGACGCTCTGTAATTCAAGATGACACTCTACAAGAAGCGTGCATTGAGCGAAGTGCACTAACAGTATACACCACAGTCCCTGTCTTACTGAAGCTCTTGACTGTTTTGACACTGTTGATCACTTCCTTCATGGAATTATTTTCTTAGTTTCTACAATTATACACTTCCCTGGTTTTCTTCTGAACCAACTTCTTTTCCTCAGACTTCCTTCTGGATTCAATGTTTTTGGCCTGCACCCTAAATGACAGTATTCCTAAGAATAGTATTAGTGTTCTTCTCTCTTCTCATTGCATGTCTTGTCTTTTATTTGGTCCCTGTAGACTCTTCCTGGGCATTCTTTGCCAAGCTTTCCAGTACGACCTCTATGCTGAACATTGCCCAATGCTACATCTCTAGTCCAGACTTCTCTAAGTTGCAAACCATTATACTCAACTATCAAATATCTCTATTGAATGTCCCAAGTTAAGTTTAATATATCTAAATATTCCCTCCTCCCACCTCTACTCCCAAAGCCGTTCTTTATTTATTCCTGTCTTGGTGAGTGTTACCAAAACCATGTAGTTGTTAAGCTCAGAAACTTGGGCATTCCTCTAAATACATCACTGCCTTTAATCCAGTCAATCCCATTGATCTTACCTCTTTGAAATCCTAATGATACTCTCTTGTCTTCACCCTTTGAAAAGTCCTGTAGTTATGCTCTTACCATTTCCGGCTCAGACCTTCACTGAACCCTCCATGTTGTGGCAAGAATAATTTTAAAAACTACAAAACTCCTAAAGGATAAAATACAAGAAAATCTGGATGTCCTAGGGTTTGAGGACCTATTAGAATGGCTACACTTGGGAACACTGACCACACCAAATACTGACAGGGAAGTGGAACACCAGGAACTCCTCTCATTCACCAGGAACTCTCATTCATTGAATTGTGGTGGGAATTCAAAATGGTATTGCCATTTTGGAAGACAGTTTGGTGGTTTCTTGCAAAACTAAACATTGTCTCACCATATGATCCAGCAATCGTCTTTTTAGTATTTACTCAAAGGATTGAAAACTGACTTCCACACAAAAACCTGCACATAAATGTTCACATCTTTATTCATAATTTTCAAAACTTGGAGGTAACCAAGATGGCTATCAAGCCATGAAAAAGCAAGGAGGAAACTCAAATGCATATTACTAAGAAGCCAATCTGAAAAGACTGCATACTGTATGATACCAACTATATGACACTCTGGAAGTGACTATGAAGAAGGTAAAAAGATCAATGGTTACCAGGAATTGGGGGAAGGAGTGATGAATAAGCAGAGCATTTAAGATGTTTATGGCAGTGAAAATAAAGTCTATGATACTGTAATGATGAATATATGTCGTCATACATTTGTCCAAACCCATAGAATGAACAACAGGTAGATAAAGCCCTAATGTAAACTATGGGCTTTGAGTGATTATAATGTGTCGATGTAGGTTAGTGAGTTGTAACAACTGTAGCACACGGGTGGGAATGCAGGTAATAAGGGAGGCTATGCATGCATCAGGGTGGGACTATATGCACACCTGTATACCACCCTCTTAATTTTTTTGTGAACCTAAAACTGCTCTAAAAACTAGTTTCTTTTTAAAAATTACAGTGGTGGTAACAGTAAAAGCCACAATAGTAGCACCAGTTGTATGGTTGCTAGTTGTTAGTATTCTTTTCTTCTTACACTGTTTCCACCTTTCCAAAATCTTCAAATTCCCTGAAAACACAGTGCTTTTGTTACACCTCCATGGTTTTTCACTTTTGTTCTCTTTACTTGAATGCCTTATCCTACGACTCCTACACCATTCTGCCCTAGAAACACTCCTCCTCATTCACATTTAGGTTTGAGATGGAGCTTCAACACCCACATGACGCTGTCTTCAGCTCTCCCAGGTGGACTTTGGTATCCGTTCCTGCAGACTCCCACTGCCTCCTTCCTCAGACTTCCACGGTGATCTCATTGTACCATAATTGTTTGCAGGCCTATTTCCATGAGAAAGGGGGCTGTAGTTCTTCATTGCTTTGAATACAGTGAATTACTGCATTAATGATGTTGCAATATCAGTGGAGAAACATACAAAGATATACACAATTAGTGAAGGACAGAATAATTTTTTACGTGCAAGCATGTTGCCTATCGTTTGAAGCCTGGCCCAAGTTCTGGAACTTCCATGGAGTTTTTCCTGACACGTCCAGGCCTCATCTGTGCCATTGCTGATGACATCTGGAATGGCACTTTGTAATACATTGTCCTATATCATTCTTATTTCATTTCTAATGCTGTTTTCCCAACAAGAGAGAAAATCCCTTGAGAACAAGGATCACCTTACATTTCATAGAACTTTATATGCTGTTGGGTATATTTAATAGGTGTGTGTATGTATATTATATATATATACACACACATATATACATATAAAATATACATATATACATACAAATATACATATATACATATAAAATGTACAAATATATGTATATATGAATATTATATGTAAATTTTATATGTATATTTGTATATTTTGTATATATTTGTCTATTTGTATGCAGGTATATACATAATCATATATTATAATGCATATAGTTATGTGTATATATATATATACACACATAATCTGTTCCTCAAGGCACCAGAACAGCAACAGGCATGTGGTCTCCTCAAGGCAACAGAATGCTGACTGACATTATTATTATGCCAGGACAGTTCTGGATAACAGTGCTGAAACTATCAACCTGGAACTTTATAACTGCAACAAAAAGCTCAGGTAGAATGTCCAGAGCTATTCTAGGGATACATAAGCACAGTAATTTTCCAATAACCACAATTAATAACCTTCAGCATACTGCTGGTATTCGCAGGAATTCTCTCTCCATAAGAAACAGTTTTTACACACTCAAGAAAGCAAACCTTAGGTGGGTGAGGACAATGTTTCTTTCCTTTACTTCTTCCCTGTCTTTTCTATTTTTCTTATTCCCTCTCTGATACCATCCTTGCCTCTGGTTTTGGTAAAAGGTGAGAAATTTAAACCAAGGCTTTTATCCTAGTGCAGAGAATTCTCAATCTGTCTGTCTGTGGTTGCTTTAAAGATGTACAGTCTTCATCCCTACCTACGTAGCTCACTGGACTCTTACCCTCTCAAATAACCCCAGTGTCTCCTTTTCCACCTATTGATGAAATATAAAGAAGTTTTATAGGCACACTCTAAAGGTCCTCCGACAATAATTAAACACCAAAAATAGTCTTTCTTCATCATCTAAGTGCCTGTATGTGCTTGTTTTGCACCATCTCTCCCGATATCCCCAGCCTCATATACACACTCTGCACAAGCTGGGATGGAATGGTGATTTTATGGAGAGCTGGGGCTTTGGGTAAGAAGAAAATAATTTCCAGGTGGCTGAGTACCACCTAGGAAAATTTTCCCTACTAACCTTGACACTGTTACTTCTCCTGCTTACTGGCAAAATCTCTCTTCCCCACCTAATAGTTCAAGTTTTCTATTTACTCCTTCCATGCCCATGCATGAGGGCTACCCAAGAACAAAAGCAAGCACATGGGTGGTCCATGTGATACCAAGTGTGAGGTGAATAGGTGGGGAATCAGTCAGTCAACAAGTACTTTTAAATACCTGTTATGTGTTCAACTTGTTTTTGGTTAGTCTGATAGCTGCAGAAGGATGAGATATAATATTCATGCAAAAAGCCAACACACAGTATTGAAAACCTACTGGGGCCAGTCACTGCCCTTTAGAATCTCAGAGGCTGATGGAAAAGACTCCAAGGGAGGTAAACACAGGATATACAGAGGAAGGGACAAAAACAATAAAGACAAACTCTGGTTAGAAAACAGTTCATCGCTTCTGTATGGCCATTCGTAAGAGAGAGAACTAACGTTCATGGTGGTCAGAGGGGGCATCATGGATGCTGTGGAGTAGGCAGTTGGTTGTCACCAACCCCTGTTAGTAAAGAAAGGTTTTATAGAAAAGGTGCTTTTATTATATTTATTTATTTATTTATTTTGAGACAGAGTCTTTCTGTGTCACCCAGGCTGGAGTGCAGTGGCACGATCTGGGCTCACTGCAACCTCCACCTTCCAGGTTCAAGCGATTCTTCTGCCTCAGCCTCCTGAGTAATGGGGACTACAGGCATGCATCACCACACCCGGCTAATTTTTGTATTTTTAGTAGAGATGGGGTTTCACCATGATAGCCAGGCTGGTCTCGAACTCCTGACTTCAGGTGATCCACCCATCTTGGCTTCCCAAAGTGCTGGGATTACAGGCGTGAGCCACCGCACCCAGCCAGAAAAGGTGCTTTTGAAAATAAGGTCTTTTCACAGCCAGGAGGAACTATAATGGTGTGAAAATTAAATGTAAGATACTGGATGGGATCCAGAGACAGAAAAATAGCATTAGTTAAAAATCTGAATAAACTACAGATGTAAGTTAACAATAATGTGTCAATATTGATTCATTCATTGTAAGAAATGTGCCATACTAATGTAAGCTAGCAATAAGAGGAAAACTGGGTACAGGATGTATGGGAAGTCTCTATATGACCTGGTCAATGTTTTTATAAATCTAAAACTATTCTGAAAACTAAAATCTGGTTTTTTTTTAAAAAAAAAAAAAAAGAAGAAAATGGTCGAGCAGCCTACAGAATATTCCTGGCAGGGGGACATGAAGGAGTCAGTTTGACAGTGACCCTTTTTTAAAAGAAGTGACTTTGTTGTTAAATGCCATGTTTGTGGCTTGATTATCAATTCCTATAGCGATGCAGAGTTCTTGCTTGCTTTTCCGTGGTTGATTTTTGGCAGGCGGCAGCAGCATTTGTGCACTGATTATAATTTCAAGATGCATTGTCAGTAACCAGGGTGTATAATGGATCTTCATCTCTAATTACTTTTCTCTCCACAGGTGTCTGGAAAGGGTCCAGATGGGAATGCACACAGCCTCCGCTTTGAAGGGATGGAGAGGCAGTACGCATCCTTACCCAGGTAGGTCACATAGGGGTCTCCCATCTCCAGCTCACCCACAAATGAAGTCTTTAGAGAAGTCTACATGAAGAAGAAATCTGGCTTTGAAATAGGGTATATGTTATAGTTTTGCCTTACTGCCGTCTGCTACAGCCCTAGTTCCATCTTCACAAATGTGCTAATAATTGAAACACTTGTGGGTTATTTTTAAGGGGAGAAAATAGTATATCATTGCAATTGAACATGTCAGCAAGAATATTGGATAGTAAATGGAAATCCTAAGCCATTGCTATAAAAATGGTATCGAACATCCTGCACCAAGCTTAGAGACAATAAAATAGTAAATCCTCTGTCCTGGGAGTTACCCATGAGAATGGCAGACCAATCTTAAGCTTAGAGTTTCATGTGGGTGTTAAGAAGCAGGAGAGAAATGTGAACTTGGGAAGGTGTTTTTGTCTGATTTAGAATCTGACCTTGTTCTCAAGGCAATAAGCAAATATTGCTGAGCGGCGCAGACCCAGTGGGGGAAAGGAACAACTGTGTGGGAGAAGTTTGCTTGGCCACCCTGGCCTAATGTGATCCACTCATGCTGTAACTAGACACCTGGTCTAGAGAAATGAGATACAGTTCTCAAAAGCTTGTGCTGTTATTGGTGAGATGAAGAGTAATTTTAGTCTGCCATCAGTAGCAAATGACAAAGAAGAAGTTTTCCAAGAGTACATGCAGTCCAGCTACGATGGGAGTTAGGTGAGGTGAGAGTGTGAGAATTAGTGGGGTCCAAAACAAAAACAAAGAAAGGTTAAAGCCAGGCAGAAAGTTGCAATGTTTTCAAATATCACCTTTTAAGAGGGTGGGAGAAAGACCCCAAGTAGAGCTTCTTTTTCATCAAAGCTGAGCTGTTAAAGTGCCAAGTCAGAGATGGAGTGACTGACATTGCATGTTGACTGTACCTCTGTGTGTGATTTTGCAAAATGAACACCCTGAACATTACAACGGGCAAAGCCAAAGTGACCATCTGCTCTTATAAATAGTTTGTTATTTTCAAAAATAATAAAATCTAAAATCTAGCAGAGAAGCATTTTTATCCTGATTAGGCAGGACACCCAAAATACAGTATTTTTAAAGCTTTTATAAAGTTTTATTTATCTTCCTGTTTTCTTTTCTTTAATAGATGTTGCCTAATAAGTTTTTCTCATTTGTGATTAGCTTCCTGTTTCTATTTTCCTTGGCTTAGTACAATTGGCCCTCAATATCTATGGGTTTCACATCCATGGATTCCGTCAACCTCAGATCAAAAGTATCCAAGAAAAAAAAGAGAGTCACAATGGTACCGATCATGTACAGACTTTTTTTCCTTGTCATTATTCTGTAAATAGTACAGTATAACAACTGTTTACATAGCCTTTACATTGTACCCAGTATTATAAGGAATCTAGAGGTGATATAATGTGCATGGGAAGATGTGCACAGGTTATATAGTAATATGATTCCATTTTGTATCAAGGAATTGAGCATCTGTGGATTCTAGTATCTGAGGTGGGGTGGGGGGCAGTCCTAGAACCATTCCCAAAACCAAGGGATGAGTATATTTTGTTTCATTTTAAAAATGGAAGTAGTTTCCAAAAATTTTGTTTTACATATAAGATTTCTGGCTTTCACTGTTGAAGTATATGGAAATTGTGGTTAAGGCAGATGGAAAATAGAATGTTCTTATGAGAGGGGGTCAAAAAAAGGAAAATTGGAAACAGTTTATTATATTCCCGACCAATCTGCACTCAGAGTCCAGAAATGGAGTTTTGGTACAAATCAAAAGCACAGAAATAGCATTTAAAATTCTATAAATTTCACTCATTCATTCATTCACCATGTATCTGGTGATCACCAGGCCCTGAGAATATGGAAGCTGGAGGCACAGTCCCAGTCCATCCTGAGAACTCTTCTGCTTAGAAAAGGAGTCAAGCAAATCAGCCTTTTACGGTAGTGCAACCAATGTCTCTGTTCATAATCATTAACGTAAAGTCTTCTGAATTTCCAGCTCTTGTTTTCACTAATAATCCCTGAAATGCTCAATCATGGCTGACTCTAAACAAGTCTGTTTTAGGATTAAACAGTGTGGTGTGGGTTTACTGACAAAGGTAATGCGTTTATGCTGTTTATGGCTCTTTATGAATGTGTGAAGGGACAAGGTTCTGCCAGCCCCAGAATAAAACTGTAGCTGAAAGGGAAGCATCTCAAAGCGGAAATAATTTTGGCAAAATGTTCACTCACCCACATACACAATGGTAGGAACGATTATAGTTGCACGTGCAAACAGACCTTTGCAGCTACCTGGCAACCAGAGGCAGCCATGATGGAGAATAAATAGGGCTCAGACAAATGCAAGGGGGACCCCTGGAAGTGGCTTTTAAATGGGGACGCTGCATCTCAACATCTAAAGAGGTGATGCAAAGCTCCCTCCCAGGCATTGCGCGCTGGTCCATGGGTAGGGGGCTCCAAATTAAACTAACGAGATGCAGAAAGCAGAGGCCAGGGACGCACTGCTGGCTTCTGAAAAGGTATGCAGATGCTGCTCTGAGTGCCAGTGACATTTACCCTGGTTTTCTTGTCTTTCCCCTGGAGATTTCACTGTCCACTTAATTGAATCACACCAGCTCCACTGCTGTCTCCTTTTGCCAGGAGAGTGAGGCGAGCACATCTCTGTAGGCACCAGATCCCTCTTCATCATAGAGGCAGGGAGCTTTGAAATATTCATGGAGCTAAATTTTTAATTAAAAATAGGAATAAATCCATCTATAAGTCGGTGGCCAACCTTATAGGGAGCTTAATATGCTACTGACTGATTGGGTTCCTATGTTGTTTGTGTATTGCCTCATGGTCCTTTTTAGGAACAATTCAGTAACACTGATTTCCATGCCAAATTTGGAGCCATCGACACAGAGAGAAAATGCCCCATAGTGCGTGGAGTAGATGAGGCGCTCTGGTCAAGGGGCATCCCCCAGTGCTTCCATGGAACTCTGTCATCTTTAAAGCAGGCCCATGCAGCCCACTGCCAGGCTAAATGACACATCACAAAATAAAGGCAGAGTGCTGGCCAGCACAGGGAAAAGATAATTCCCAGCACTCGGTAGTTATGAGGTTGCCTAAGGCTAAGGGCTAAGGGATGTTAAGTGTTATTGTTAAGCAATGTTAAATCTTCTGCCTCCTAAGAAAAATGACTGTACTTCTTTTCTCCTGAGGGTGCTGTTTTAGAAAGCGGAGTATGGCTGTAATACAACCTCGTTAGTAAACACCAGACCTGTACCGGGGCCAATGTTTTACCAGCCTGAACAGCGCTCAGTTTTCTTGGTAGTAAACAGAACAAAATCAGCATTCCCTTATTCTTGCCTGACACAAATTATTACTCACCCTAGGTGAGTAGGGAAGTGGCTGTTTCCTAGGTTGCTATGATGTGCGAACATCGATGTATGTGTTTTTACAAACGGCTCCTTTTTCACTCAGCCTACCAGCCCCTCGCAACTCTCCCAGGCCCCAATCTGATTCCGCAGGCCTCCTTGCAGTCAGTCCCTTCAGCAGTGAACTCTCCACCCTTCCCATCTCAAGCCTCCATCACTCCACCTGGCCCATCCCTGGCCCCATGGGATCCCATTATCCTCCTCTCTGCAGATGACTCCGTGCATCAGCGCATGATGTTGCTCTTCCGGGCTTATAATCAAGTGTGGAGTCCTAAGGAGTGAGCAAAAGGCACTGCAGCTCTTCTGTGGTCCTACGTGCATGGGCAGCGAAAGGTTGCTGGAGAGACTCGTAAAACTGCATTTATGGGTTCCACTACAAAATTCACATTAGGCAGCGCCAGCTGGGTCCCTGCTGCCGTCCAGCATTTTTTGTAGTCATGTTGTCAACTCCCCTGACTATCCCACAGTGGCCATTCCAACCCTTTCTACTCCTGTTAAGTTCTATGAAGATGACTAAACTCCCCAAGCCCAGTCTCTGGAGGTGACCTCACTTCCTTTCCTTTACGACCTTGAGGCATTCAACGTTAGCCCCACAACTTCTGCTCCTGCAGCTCAGACTTCTGCATCTTCGCTCAAACACGCTTCCCAAGGGGATGCACTGAGGGCCTGGGCTCAGAGTCAGGCTGTGATTGTAGCCCCAGCTTCATCACTTACCACCTGTGTGGCCTTGGGCAGTGATGGAATTGCTCCAGGCCCTGTTTCGTAATCTGCAAATTGGGGATGATACTAGAGCCTCGGGATAGTGCTGGTATGAGTATTAAAATACAGTAATACAAGGAAAACCCTCAGTGAAGAGCCTGCATAGTGCATTGAAGGATTTTTTATTGTTAGCTCTTTTTTATTTTATCTCTGGGGAAGAAGTGTGCCTTCCTGTAATGAGGCAAACCCACACACCAGAGCTCCTTCTCCCTGGCTTCTTGGGGACCTTGAGCCACCAACTACCCTCTCTCGGCAGCACCTTTAATCCCCTTGCCAGTTGCTTTCCTCCCCTGCCTACTGTTGTAGAGGCACAACCTCAGCGGCACGGTTTGCCAGGAGTCCCCACTGTGTGGAGGACAGGAAGCAGCCCCTGCATGGGGATACGCTGGGAGACTCGCTGAAGCTGCAGGATTTGCCAGCTCAGGCAAGGCCAGGGATCTGGATGGCCAAGAGCAAGAGAACACAGCAAACTACTGTGATGCGAGCAAGAAGCTGAGCTAATGGGCATGACAGGAGAAGCAGTGCTAAGGAGAGGGAGTTTATGACAGATTCAGGGTGCTGACTCGGCTCTAGGCAAGAGGCCAGAGCTCTTGTCCAGCAAGACTTGGGTGCAGGAGTAGGCATTGCTCCAGTGGTGGAGGCCATACCAGGACAAGATAACCAGCAAGGTGGAGCATGATGCTTTAGCTCCTAGGGTGGACGTGACGTGACAGCAGCACCCTATTTGCTAGTGGGAGAGATCCAGAGATACTGCTAAGATATTCCTGTTATCTCGGGACTGAGCAGTGCTGAACATTCAACTACCAGGAC